AATATCATATGTGTAAATAATATACAACAGAGGAGCGAGTACTGACCCCTGAGGCACCCCTGCTAGGGCTGGTTTAATGGTAGATAGTTCTGTACCTTGGCAAACAGAGAAAAATCTGTCAGAAAGAAAAGATTGAAGAATAAGATAGTAGGTTGGAGGGAGTATAGTCTTAAGTTTGAAAAGAAGTCCCTGATGCCAGACTCTATCGAACGCTTGAGCAACATCCAGAAATACTCCTGTTGCATATAATTTGTGCTCTAGTGCTGTCGCAATGTAGTCTGTCACTCGGTGTAGCTGATGAATGGTTGAGTGGTGTGAACGAAATCCAAACTGATGTTCAGGTATTATGTTTTCAGTAGTCAGTATGTCAAGAAGTCGTTTGTAGAGAAGTTTCTCAAAGATTTTAGAGCATAATGGGAGCAAGCTGATGGGTCTGTATGATGAAGGAAAGTCAGTGTTTTTGTTAGGTTTGTGAATCATTTTTATGAATGAGTATTTCCATTGTAAGGGGAATTTAGTCGTTCTGAGTATTGCGTTATAAATTGATGTTAGGTATACTAGAGCTTTCCTTGGCATTTTCTGGAGCACTTGAGCATTTATCAGGTCATGACCGGGAGCTTTCTTTTTAGGTAACTGTCTGATTTGTTCTGCAACTTGAGTGGGAGTGAAGCAAAGTGGAGGTAATGACAGTTGTAAAGGAATGTCTAAAGTGTTTTGTACATGTCTTTCGTGATCAGTATTAGAGAAGTCAGTATGTGGTATGAAAACAGAAGAAAGATGGTTGGCAAAGAGCTCAGATTTTTCAAGGTCTGACACAGCCCAGGAACCATCTACGTTTCGGAGTGGTGATGACACCTCACAATGCTTTACAAGTTTCTTAGTCTGTCTCCATAAGCTTCCATCGTCAGTCGAAAGATTTTTGAGGTAATTGTCGTAGATCGTTCTTTTAAAATTCTGAATCTGTCGTTTAAGTTCATTGTTAAGTCTATTGAAAGTCCGTTTGTCAGATGGAAGTCGACCAGTCTGCCACACTTTGCGCGCTCTTCTCTTTGCTCTGATCAGGTCTCTAATGTACTGCGGATAGATTGGAAGAGACGTATTTCTGCTAGGTCTTGGTACAGATGATGACCATACAGCCTGTTGTAAGCTGATTGTGAACTTATCAACAGCTTTTTCGAGTTCCTCTTCGGTCTTAAGGGACATTGGGATTGATAGCGTCGAATTTAAGTAGTCGCTGTAAGCTTTCCAATCGATTATCCTATCTGTAAGTGTTGGTTTTTTTGATGCAGTACGAGGCTCATCGCATAGTACCAAACTGAGAAGAGAATGATCAGAACAAAGATCAGAGCTTGCAGTTACAGTATACGGCACTGTCCTGAGTCCTTTAGTAATGAAAAAGTCAAGTAAATCTGGTGTTTTCTGTCTTGAAGTTGGCCAGTAAGTAGGTGTATCAGGTGAGATCGTGTTTAATGAAAGCTGATCGATGGCAGACTTTAGATTTCTTCCTCTAGGAGTACAGAGTCTTGCTCCCCAGGACTGATGTTTGGCATTATAATCACCACCTGCAATAAAACACAGACCGAGATGTTGGAAAAAATTGTAAAACATTGCAGATGTTAGCACGTATCTCGGAGGGCAGTACACTGCAGCGAAGGTAATGGTATGGTGCTGGGTATACAGAGTAATTGCTGTGGATTGTATGTCAGGTGTAATGGGTAATTGTAAAGGGTTGTGTTTTAGTGATTGCTTAATCAGTATTGCCGTACCGCCATGTGCCGTCTTATCAGGGTGGTCAGTTCTATATATTTTGTAGCCTGGAATGTAAAATTTAGAATGTGGAGTCAAGTGTGTTTCAGTGATGAGAGCAATGTCAGTCCGTTTTTCATGTATGTACATGTCAAGTTCAGTCCTGTGTTGGTTTATACCATTTGCGTTCCAGAGAAGAACGGACATGGAGCCCACTGTCAGCCGATTAGTAGCCATAACTGGAGGATAAGGCTTGTGCAACGTGAGACAGTTCTTGGAGAAGGCTGAAAAGAGGCTGGATGAGGTTATTCAATCCACTTACCAAGTTGAAGAGCTGAGCTGAAGCCGGGTGATTGTAAGTCGGTAGTGGCGGTTGAGTAATGCCCTTTTTCATTTCTGGATGCTTTGGCTGGTGAAGGTGATTTTCTGGGACTTCTGTAGGAGAAGTTCGCAGTTTTGGTCCTAGATATTGGGAATCGGGTTTTGAAGAACCTGAATTTGCGGTATGCTGACTTTGCGGAAGAGAAGGAAACTCGTCTATACCTGGGGGTGCGCTAGTTTGTGCTTTTTGGGGACTTTGTATATTTTTACGGAGATTGCGTACTTCCCTCAGTTGTTTTAGAGTTGCACAACCTCTATAATTTGCTGGATGGGATCCGCTACAATTCGCGCATGTTGCTGCGGTCTCTCTTGTCTTTGTGCAGACGGTGCTATCATGTCCTTGGCCACATCTCACGCACTTCGGGGAGTGATTGCAGTAAGCCTTTGTGTGGCCATACTGCTGACAACGGGTGCACTGTGGAATCATTCTTTTCTTTCTTGGCTCTTCGATTTTCACTCTAGTATAGTATAAAAATTTGATATCAAAAATTTTTTCATTAAATGTGGCTTTAGAGATATCGATAAAGAACATGGGAAGTGGATTTTTGTATCTGGAAATAACGTTCACAATACTTGTGGCATCGTAGCCTAGGCATTTTAATTCGTATTTTATGGTTTCAATTGGAGTAGCATGGTGTAAGTTTTTTAATACGATTCTTGGATTTCTATCTTCTATTAACTGATAGGTATGGAAATCGGCACCTACCTGTCTTAAGTTAGCTACTATACGTCTATATGTGTCAGAGTTTTCAGGATATACGGTTACTCCTCTTGATGTGGATTTTAGGTTAAAGCTGTTCAAACCTCCTACATTTTGGAGAAATGTGACCAGTTCGGTGTAGTTCTGTACATCATTCAAGTGGATAGGGGGCGGTTTTACAGAAACTGGTTGCTTAGTGGTAGCATCAGACTCGTCACTAATGTTAGTTAAAACTTCAAAACTATTAGTGGTTACTGTTGTAACTTCACTTACCTTTTTAGCTTTTCTTGGGTCTCTGTTATTGTCCATTGAGCGTTTTCTTCCTGTAACGAGTTCCCAATTATTTTCAGTAGTTTGGTTTGAGTTTAAAGCGTCCACATTTTCTGTAGAACTGGCAGATATCGACGTCTCAGACATCGTTTGCGGTGAAACCGCTACACCGAGGTGTGGAGTTCCTATTTCTTGGAGCTAATTGGTTTCAACAACAGAATGCAACAAAAAGAAAAGTTTTCACTGTTAATTTACTCTAAGATTTTGTCAAAAAGATTTTCAAAGAAAAATTAACCTCACTTTTATCAATGTTCACACATGATCCAGCTGATCAACCTGTATTGTTTTGAGGGTATAAATATAGGTACTTATTTCTTATGAAAAATGTTCTTAGGTAAGATATTTTATTAAATATCTGTAGAAAAAAGCTTTTTTTAGTCTCAACAATTAAAAAAGTATAATTTAAATTTATCCAAATTTTCGCCTTTTCAGGAAAAAAACTAGAGACCGTATCGTTCCTCCTAATTGTCCGATCTTAACGATTTCTTTTTTGTTTTTTTAGGAAATTCATAGATAAATTTAAAGGGTGTCGAGAAAATTACTTTATCGAAGTTTCATTGAAATCGGTACATTCGTTAAGGCGCTACAGTCTATAGCAACGCAGGTTTTTCTGCATTTTTATTTTTTTTCTCCTTTATTAACTTATCAAATTCTTTCAAAAGTTATATTTAGCATTTTTTCGTAACTTTGATTAAAGTGAAATGATTAACTTTTTAAAATAAACCATATTAAAGGGACTTTAGAGGAAGACATATATGAACATTGGCATTAAGCCTGAAAGTCATCGGATAAGCTATGATATTAAAGACCACTTAATTAAACAATGATACACCGAGTTTAATCAAAATCGTTTGAGCCGTTTTTGAGAAAATTGTGAAAATGTGTTTCAGCGTTGATATAATGTGGCACTTTCGGTCAGTCGATTTTAAGGAAAAAGTTGCTGTCACATCCGGCCCATATACAAACCTTAAATACTTAATATCAGTTTCGTAGGACTTTTCGTTTTTGAGCTAGACTGCTAACATACAAACACACAGACCATTTTTCGGGACTTGGTTATTTCGACTCAGGGTACCTCAAAACGTGTATTTCCGTTGAAAACTCAGATTCAAAAATTTTCTCGATCGCAATACTTACCCTTACTATTTATTACATAAATACGTAAGTGAAAGTAATAAAAATATCTACACTGACTTCCGCAAATCATTTTCTGAATTCTCCATGGTATTAAACATTTGAGTTATGTTAGTTCAATTATTCAAAACAGCAGTTCTTATTTGACTTCGGCGCTATCGTTTTTCTCTCCGACTCTCTCTGACTTGGCGTCGCGTCAAAGTACAATTTTGATTTCTGATTCATCTTAAAGAGGATGAAATGATGAACATTTCTATCCCTTACAGCATGCAAGTCTGATTTTCAGTTTCTGAGGTATTTAAATCCTTTTCTCCAACAAAACTTGTTATCATTTGGAAACTATTTTTTCCATTTTCGCCTCTCTAACACGGCGTCACGTTAAGATTCAATTTCGAATATCCCATTCTAAAGAGAATGAAATGCTGAACATTTCTGTAGCTTACAGTATACAGGTCCAATTTTTAGTTTCTGAGATATTTTAATTCATATGCAGAAACTTTCATTTAGTCGAATCTAGCCGACTTTACCCGAATGAGCGTTACACATCCGAGCCTGATGGCTCAGTTTAAATCACTCCCTACACAAAAAGTGCAAAACGCGCCTAAAAAAATTTTCACGTCAATAAAATCGTTTTATACGTTACAACGCAAAATTCGAAATCTTGAGGACACTTCAATATAAAACGCTGATAAAAATAACGAAACATTAGTACTAATTGAACGACAGCCATTGCTCATTCGGTACGTATTTCTTAATTTTATTTTTTACTATTTCATAATATTAGCAACTGACGCAGTGTGGTGTAAATGAATAATTCAGATTAACCTATCAGATAACAGACGATAACTTTAATTTAACAACTACTTTGATCTAATGTTACTCATAAATGAAGTCATAACTCTTTTAAGTTTGTCATATGAGGAGCTTGCCAACGAAAGTTTGGATATTTAGTTTTCACCAAATTATGATTTCGATTAGGTTTGGTAGTTTCCTAAAGCTTTACTGAAAGCTAACTTCACTTCTAAAAGTAATGTTTTTTTCCCCAATAGAATAGTGAATTGAAGAATTTTTATTTTCAAACTACCAACAACTGACATAACGTTGATAGAAATCTTCGGTTATGATTATTCCATTGTTCAATTATTAATTAATTGAACTAGAGTGTGATTTTGATAATATGATAACTTTTAAACTAAATTATCAAAGTTACGTATGATTCGCTGAAAGCTATATCCTCAATTATTTTTAAGAGCACAGATCTCTGATATGATTACTCGCCAACTTACGGAGACAATAGAAATATATCTATTTATCGTTAATAAAGATGAAAAACTATTATGGGCACTAAATATAAATATATATTATAAACCATTTAGAAGTTAATTATTTTTTCTGACCAAATCTAATGAAACGGCTTATATAATTTTTATCAATTTGAATTGTGTATGTTCACTTTCATCTGCCTCATGCAGCTGTCTCATGAACAGTTTGAAATCAGAATCATATGGTCGGAAATAATAGTTAAAACATTTTTCCGGTCATATTTTAAGCCTCTGATGAATAGGTGACATTAAATGTGTTTGTTTCCTTTCTGATGGAGTCTGATACTGATATTAATATAAAATAAATGACGTTCAAGAAGAATTGTATGGAAGAATTATCTTTTAAAATCTATTCATTTATTTTTTTTACTTAAGTTCTTATAACAAGATATAATATGTAAATAACAGATATGATTTAGCCGCATTGAGTCTGATATGATTTAAAAAATAATACAATTAAATTATGACAATATAAAACATTTTTTTATGTCATTTAAATGTTTTATGTATTTAATTTAATTTAAATACTTTTAAATATCTTATACGTTTAATATTTCTTCATCAATATATCAAAAAACGTAACATAATGTGTGTTTAATACATGGTTGAGAACATGTCGAAGTCAACTTAGAATTTATGTATGAATAAAAACATTGATTGGTCTATCAATATCTTTTTGTAAGTTCCTAAATTGTATTTTATTACAGATCTATTATACATCGCCTTGACATTCATGCTGTTATTTAACTGATTCATGGTATTAAGAAGCATTGTATGAGACCTCGATTATCTTATTATTTGTACTACTTCTTCTATTTCCTATTTATTTATCTATTTGATATCAGTCGATCTGTATCAGATGTGTAAAAATCCCTTTTTCTTGTATGAAATACACGTCTATTGCATAAACATGTTAAAAAATATTGTGTTTTGCTATACATTTTTCCCATCTCTAGCAATTCATGAATGCCATGTCAGAAAAACTTCATGTTTTCTGCATTCCGGATTTCGGTTTGTTCTCAACCAGTTGTCAAACCACAAATTACAGAAAATTGTATAAGAAGTGAAAAGCTTCTGAGCAAGTAAATAGCCCAATCGATGCAAATAAATTGTAAGCCGAAAAGAGTCAATTATGTTGAGTAATGACCATCAACTTCACTGGTTTTGCTGAAAATACTGGACCATTTTCATGAAGAAAAATAACTTTTTGTTTTGTAATTTTATCATGATCGTCGTTTTTAACTCAATAATGGATTTAAATATATCAATTATTGTTGATTACGATTATTCTTTACGCTATTCCCCAAATTTTAGCAACCCATTATGGACAAACCCACGTTCTTCATTCCTCGTTTCCAAACTACCACTGTCGAATTATTTAAAGCATTCAAAGCGTTGTGATTTACCAAGAACATAATCTAACTCAAGTTTCGGCAAGCATTAAACAAACACCTCTGTAGTGGTTTTTCCTCAGCTAAATGGTAACAAAAAAAAATTCTAAAAAATCAAAGTTTTTAGGCACAAAAATCAACATATACAACCAAATTAAAACGTTATTTTTATATGAATCTTGTATTGTTGTGATTTAAAAATTGTTGCCATGTGTCGAAGAAACGACATGCTGCCGATATCGCGGTTTAATTAACAACTAACTATCTAAGGACGAATCCCTATTTCATTTTCACTCATCTCGTCTACCCTTCAAATCATGTTTTAATATCTCTATAAAATGATAAAGTAGGCTGAAATTTCAGTACACATTAAGACAATAACTAAGTTACTGTTTTATAATTTTGAACCTACCGCAACTGCCATTTTCTAAATTAAATCCACAACAACCATTTTTCGCTTAATTTTAAATCTGAGTAAGGTAGATACGGCAATAGAAGAAAATAACACCATGGGAAGTAACATTGCGCCAACATTTTTTTTTTCAACTTCAAAATACAACTTTTCCTTTTTTAAAGAAAAGAAACTGTTGCTAGTTGTTTTATTAATAATATTGGTTAATTTAAGATTGTTTAACTTTAATAAATATCGTTAAAGAAAGTTATAGATTTTGCTATCATAATATATTTTATAATACAATATATTTTATAACCATAAAACATCTGAACACATTATATTATTTACAGGTGATATCGATTGTTGATAAAATTAAATAAATAAAGAAAATAAAACCATATGAGGTGTCCTGCTCCTACAAAACTTTTCTTTTTTAAAATTTTAAAACAATGTTACCTCCCACGCGTAATGTTACCTGCCATTCTTCCAGATCCCCAACTAGAGCCTACATTGAATTTATATTTTCACCTCCTTTTAAACAATCCTAGAGATGTGGCAGATCCATAGCAATCTAGGTCTTCCTCAAGGATGGCGTCCAGTAGGCCTGCCTAAAAAAAGTCTGCATCGTTCTGCATTGATGACCAAACCATCCCAACTGCCTCTTTTCAACTGTTTCCCTCAAAGCTGGCACTTTTGACTATATTATCCTAAGAACTAATAACTAAAAAAAATCAAATTTTTAGGACGAAGAACAAAATGAAGTCAATACTCTTGGTTGCCCTACTGGTAACATTGGCATCTTCAACGCCTTCACTTAACGTGCAGTGGTTGTCGTTCAAGGTGAGGAAATGAAACATTTCCAATGTAATTTTGAATCATAGAATGACCGTGTTGTTTTTTTATATGATCTCAACTACATAAAAAACTAACAAACAGTAATATTTTGTAGAAAGAACATGGAAAATCGTACAAAAGCCCAGCTGAAGAACAACGAAGGCACTCAATATTTATGGATAACTTGAAGATGGTCGAAGAACACAACGCACAATACAAAGCAGGCCTTGTGTCATACTATTTGAAAATGAACCACTTGGGAGATATGGTGAGTTACCACTAAGTGGCCTGAATTATTCTTTGTTAATTATTTGAACTCTTTATATTTTAATTTTTAGTTACCGGAAGAATTCAACTCTACTCAATTAGGTGTCAAAAAGGTTGAAACGAGAAAAGAAGGAGAAAAATCTGAGCTCTTTTTCGTGCCTTCTAACAGCGACGTAATACCTGATTCCATAGATTGGAGAGAACTGGGTGCCGTAACACCAGTAAAAAACCAAGAATTGTGTGGATCGTGCTGGGCATTTAGCACCGTATGTTGAGGAGTTTATGTATCTGTATATAACAATAAATATTTAAGTATGATCTATAAATATTTTAATGAAATATTTTCTCTTAAGACAGGGGCGTTGGAAGGCCAAATTTTCAGGAAAACAGGAAAACTTGTCTCTCTGAGTGAACAACAACTGATGGATTGCTCTGGAGACTACGATAATTACAGATGCAAAGGTGGATCAATGGATAGAGCTTTCCACTATCTACAAGATGTAGGAGGTCTGGAAAGTGAAGATTCGTATCCATACGAAGCCAGGGTAATTTTTTTTAATTAGTGTACTATTTTTTTAAGTCGCCAGAACACCCATTCTCTTACCGTCCTATCTCTCTTTTACCCATTATGGGCGAAATCCTGGAAAAACTAATTTTAAAACGCCTGTATCCCATAATAGACTCTAAACACATAATCCCAGATCACCAATTTGGATTCCGCACATCCCAATCCACTATTCAGCAATGCCATCGTGTGGTAGATGTAGTCACCTCTGCACTGGAGCGCGGAATGTACTGCACGGGAGTCTTTCTTGACGTTGAACAGGTGTTTGATAGAGTATGGTATCCGGGACTGATGTAAAAACTCCATAAATTCCTACCTTACTGACAGATACTTCAAATTCAATCATAACAATGCTTATTCATCTCATTTTACTCAGTCTGCCTGTGTTTCTCAAGGTAGTATCCTAGGTCCTATCCTTTAAACAGTTTATACAGCTGACATCCCAACCCAATCCAACACTGTCATCACCACCTATGCCGATGACACGTGTATCCTATCAGTTAATAACGATCCACCTATTGCATCCCAAACTCTTCAATCACACATCACAAGTATTGAAAAATGGTGTCAAAACTGGAGGATTAAAATAAATTCCAATAAATCCCATCAAATTACGTTCATTCTTCGTCTTAAACCTATGACTTCCTGTCCTACCCATGACTTCAACAATAGCGCTCTTATCCCTGTCGAACAAATCCGATACTTAGGACCTTGACAAACGACTCACTTGGAACCCCCTTACCAGACTGAAACGACTAGAAACCGCCCGACGTTTTCGACTACTGCAGCACTTACTAGACAAACGCTCTAAGCTTTCAATCAATTACAAACGACTCATATATATATGACAATAATAAGATCTATTTGGACTTACGTAATTGAGCTTTGGGGCTCCACTAAACCATCGAATTCCTCTCGTATGCAGTCCTTACAATCCAAAATCCTTCGTAAAATCCTCAACGCTCCTTACTTTGTCACTAATCAAATCATCCATAAAGATCTTAATGTTCCATTTGTTTTCGATTTTTCCCAATCCAGATATCTATCCTTCCATAACAAACTGCAGAACCATCCGAACCTTCTCGTTTCAAACCTTGCTTCCTCCTCGATCCCTGATAACCCTCCGAGGCCTCGGGACCTTCTAATATAGATCTTTAATTTGAGTTCTGCAAATGGGTAGTTTCTCTTTATGTTTTACGTGTCATGTTACTAATTTCAAATTTACTTATTGTATTTTCTATGTAATACAGATGTAAATTTCATTAAAATAAAAAAAGACAACAATTTTTTTTTATTCAATCACATATCTGAAAAAATGTATTAATTTTATTCGTTTCAGGATGGATATTGCAAGTTCAAGCCGTGGAAAGCTGTGCCGGGCACTGGAATCAAATCGTACGCCAGCGTGGACTTCGGTGATCTCGCTGCTTTGCGATATGCTGTAGCTAGAGTAGGACCGATCTCCGTTGCTGTCAGCGCAGGCAACCGCAACTTTAGGTTTTACGGAGGAGGTTAGTGTTGACCATCAGAATGGTCATACAATAATACTACAATTTAATAAAAAATACTTGTATTTGTACACGTACTGTTTCAGGTGTCTTTGATGGAAATGGCTGCAATACGATGATATTGGACCATGGAGTGCTGGTGGTAGGCTATAGTTCAGAAAACGGAAAGGACTACTGGATTATCAAAAACTCATGGGGCCCGACGTGGGGAGAGAACGGATACATGAGATTAGAAAGAAACAACGAAAACCTTTGTGGTATAGCATCTGAGGCCAATTATCCTTTATTGTGAATTGGATCAAAACAGTATTATTTTTTCTCATTAATTCGGCCTATACAACGTTTTCGTTTTAATTGAAAAAAAAAATTAATTACTTGTGCAAAATATACTTGCATTCTCCATTATAAATACTTCCCATAATTTTTCTGTACATAATACCTTTCCTGTGAATTAAAAATAGAATTTAGACTATTTATGTAACTGATTGTTAATAAACTATTTTTGTTTTATAATAATATATTTTAAAGTAAAAAAAACAAAATTAAAATTTGTTTGCAGAATCTTGAAAATGGCTTCTGAAGCCGAAACGTTGAATAATAAATACATAATGTGATAACAAGTGTATTTGGTGACCTATGGCCTAATGTTTTTTAAAATAACTTCAAAAATGGCACCGAACTAAAAGATATGACTAGAAAAAAAAATCGTCGAAGGAGAAGGGGGTGGCCGAGTCTGCTAACGCATGTGCCAAATACGCGTTGCCTGGAATCTTGATAAACCGAAGATCACAAGTTAAAATCCTGGTGCCCGGAAGACTTGTAGTACATTATCGGTGTTATTAATGTCTCGCTCTCTCCCTTGTCCCGGGAAATCCCTGTATAGCCCAACATAGAGGAAGAGGTGAAAAGAAAAAAAAAAATTAGATTTGTTCTCAGGAATGTTTCAATATTTTGTTGAAGATTTTTATGTAAGAATTTTTTTATTGCTAAGAATGTTTATAGACCTGATTTTTCAATTCACTTTTTTTTAAGCTACTTCATTTTTCTTTCCTAACATTACTAAGTAAGGAAAGTATTGCTATCGGGTCAAATTTCTGATGTGCAGTTTTCAATAGACTATTAAACCCCCTGAGTTAGAAAACAACTTTTTTTTCAATTTCAGTGTTTGCAATTAGTGAGTGCACTGTTCAACGGTGGTCCTAAAAAATTTTGATGGGAGACTTGAGTCTTGGAGACAAATAAGTTCGTGGAACAATTTACTCTCTTGATGGGCTTTGATGAAATAAAACCACATAACAACTGTTCGAGAATTTGAAGGGAAACTAAACTTTAGCAAATCGACCATCGATGACCACCTCAAGACGATTGGGAAGGTAAAAAAGCTTGTTGGGTTCCACACATATTAAACGACCACCAAAAACATATGTATCTTCTTGCCTCTCCCCCCTTTAATGCAGCAGAGAGAGCCTTGTCCAAAGTAAAAATCAGGACAAGGGATTGTCTAAGTGAAACTGGAGAGCATAACTTCAACATATTATTACCAGAAGCTGTATCTTCCATAACAAGTGCATATTGCGCAAACTAATTCATAGAGATGATCTCACAGCTGACAGCAGCCGCATCTGGAAACCAGCATTACAGCACTACAAAATTGTCTTTTATAACTTTAATAGTCTACTGAGAAAGATTGAAAAATTCTTTTATAAAAAAAAATCTGCCAAGTAGGGAAAGTATAACTCCCTCGCCATTTCAGTTGAGTACGTAATTACCAATACTTTCAGATCAATGAGATTAGTTTGAAATTAAATCGTTAGCAAATAAAATCAACTACGTAGAGAACCGTTTTATAAACATATATTTATCAAGTGTAATAAATTTGTTTGAAATACATAACTTTATACAAAAGTATTAATTCACTAATATAGATGCTAAACCATTTGTATACTAGCCCATCGACTTCTATCCAGCGTTGATTCTAATCGACGTATAACAGTTTTTGATGAACCCAACTAGAAATAGACCATAATAGTAGTGTAAGTGACTTAGGCCTCATTAGTCTCTGTTTTTTACTTTCTTACCTATACTAGGTAAGGAAAGTATTGCCATCTGGTCAAATTTCCGATATGGAGCTTTCCACGGATCTATACGTTTCACAGCCCCCTGAGTCCGAAAAACACATTTTTAGTCATTGGTCTGTCTGTCTGTCTGAGCCAAGATTTTCTCGGGAACTACTGAACCGATTTTGTTGCTTCTTTTTTTATTTTGTAGAGTTTTGACCACTGATGCCTGTGACAGAAATTCGGTGCTCCATGCGCAATAAATGAAAAACGTGTTTTTCTATAGACTGTATCACGAAAACGGCTCTAGCGATTTTAATGTTCTAATAATTGTCCTTTCAATTTTCATATATAGGCTAAATTTCCGAGAAAATACAGAAAAAAAAGTTATAAAGAAAAAAAAATGTTATTGGGCCTAACTCTCTAAGTATACCTTATACGGTAAAACTGTTTTTTGAAAGGTAATCAAATTCCCTACAGAACTATATAAAAATCCTTCATTTTAGACAACTATTAACGAAGTTACAACTATTCAATTTCCAATGAAAGATTCCGGGTTCATATCCTGGTGTTAGAAAGGGGTGAATGAGAGAATAAAGATGACTAAATGAAAGTATGAAAATCTGTTGCCTGGACCACACAAGCTTCACTATTTCCTCTACTTTTCATAGAAATTATTGTTTGACAATACTAATCTATGGCAAAAAGTTTTTGATCAGCAATATAAGTGAGTATTGAAATATTTACCCTGATCTCCCTCAAGCCGGTTCACATTGCTTTAGTTTATCAAATAAATCGTACACAAATCTATTCTTTGAAAAATTTTCAGGAAAATAAATCTAATTCATTTTTTTTTTTTTTGTTTCTTCATGAACATACGTAAATATGTAAAAACTTTTCTGGAATAGGTAGGAAAGTCGTGTGAGTGGACCCACCAGTTTTTTCTTCTTTTTTTATGAGAAATACTTTATTAAATATGTATAAATTATAAATACCCAAAGTACAAAGAACATTTATACGCTATGATTATTCATTTGGCGTCATTAGTCTCTGTCATAAATCCAATTTGTAGTTAAATATTCCATTTTTTTGCCAATTCAGGTATCTTCAGGGAAACAGTACATTTTTAAAGATTCTTATTGAACGGGATCAGGTATGTAATGCTATGCACGGTTATTTACAAAATGTATAGTACCAAAAAAATTAAAAATGTAGTGTTTGTCTGAAGGTGCCTGAATCGAAGAAATTTTGAATTATTTAATAATAATCATGTTATATGATAGACACTCCAGAGGCCTAAATCACTAATTATTACTGATATAACTATGATAATAGTTTCAAAGAAACGTGGGTATGTTGATGCTTTAGCAACATTAGAGTATGAAATTTGAACAAATTGGTACTTGGATATCTCTAGATTATTCTCCAACTTTCCTATAACCTTGAAACAAATCGAACGAGCTGTTTTCGAAATATTTGTGAGTGAATTAAAATTCTTTAGCATGTTCGAAGATAAAGTAACAGGAATTTGATAAAGCTGATACGGGACAATTCATTTATCATTTCGCAATATCTGAACACTTATCATCAATTATGGATTGACGGTAATGGGTAATTTGCTCGTCACATGATTTAAGATAATGATAGTCAGACAGGTAGAAGAAAGGCATGGAAACTAATTTTTTCTTGAAGTCTAAAGGTGCGGTTAGACATTTAACCAACAATGGGAAACACGACTTTATAATTTAAACAATAGCGACATTATTGCTAAACCAAACTATTTACTTTATATTTTTGATACCAACAGCATATAGAAAATATCAAAAACAATAATAATAAAATAATTAAAGGCGTAGCAAACCTGAAGGTTCGATGCCGACATCAGCAATCGAGATTTGCACAAATCTTCCTAAATGTCACCATCTAAACTCCACCAGATCAGCCTCATCCTCCCACTTTCGCTTCGGCCTACTCCTTCCCCGTTTTCCAGTCGGTACAGCGCTAATTAATTGTTTAGGTATTCTTTCATTATCAAGCCTAACAATTTTACAAACACATTATATTTGCCGCAATGTAAGCACCTCGATTATATTAACCGGATACAATTAACGCAGTTCGGCATTGTGTAACCGTCTAAATTCTCCTGTAGACCCATCCTTCTGCCTCAATATTCTAGGTTATACTTTATTTTCAAACATTAAGACGTTACTCATATTTTAATATAAGTGGCCACGTTTCGCAACTATAAAGAACCGAAGGTAGGATAATTCTTTTGTAAATTCTTGTTTTTAAGTTCCGGAAAAGGAGACGCGAGTTAAGTAGTTTTGACAAAGAAAAATAACGAGCATTTCTCACCTTCAACCTAACCTTAATCTCCTCTTCAATTTTTTTTTTTAGATATTATACCCCTTAGATACCTAAACTGCTCTATGTGTGGAACTTATTCCCTTTTATATCGATATCACCAAAATTGTTCCTGATTTTCAGCTAACCATAATTTTGTCTTATCTGTATTTATTTCAAGCCCCAGTTCTTTACCTGCTTTCATTAACGCATCCGTATTTAGTGTTATAGTTTTCGTCTCTTCGCTTAGCAGGACTAAATCATTCCCATAACCAACCGGGAATATTGTTCCACCCAAATTCAAACCTTTTTCGGTACACAATACCTGTCTGATGGCATGTTATAATGTAAAATTTAACAGGACAGTTGAAAGTAAATAACTCTGTTTTAAACCCGAATGAACTTCAAAATCTTCGGGCAAATTATTACCGGTTCTTTATAAAACTTTATATCATGTTTTCGTCAAGCACATCCTAACTATGAACTATGATTCACCAATTTTATTGAAATATCCTGTTCAAGTAGAATATTCTACGCCAATTGAATTTTGAGCCTTTTTGAAATCGTTATTCAGTTGATGAACAACACCATTGTGTTCTTCTTTTCTTTTATAATTTTTCTTTAATATTTGCCGTAGGGAAAATATTTGATCAATTGTTGAACGGTTCCGTCTAAATCCGCATTGGTATCCCTGATGATTTCCTCGGCGTATTCTGTGATTCGAACGGTAAGGATTAAAGTGAATATTTTAGTGGAATAATCAGGGTTTAAATCGTTAAGTAAAACAATTTAAATCAAATCAGATAATTTTTTTTATCTGGAATCTTTAAAAATTTATTGATGATTTTTCTTAAGACCGATTTTTATTTTTCATCTTAAGTGATAAAAATAACATCCTAATAATTATTTTTAACATAATTTTTACAATTAACAATAATAACAATAATTCTTGAGTATTACTTTTTAAATCAGA